TCAGGGCCTTCTATGCATATAATGAATTATGGCCTTATATTAGCTGAGGAAGTAATAAACTAGCATTGGATAACAAATTAATGTTAGTGTACATTAGTTTATCCATTTAACTCATCACAATGGGAGGAGGAGAAGACAAGGGGGGAAGAGTTTGGATTCTAAGGGCAAACTACCTGAGTTGAACCTCACTCTTCCACTCACTAACTCTATGTTATTTGGAACCGTTACTTAACTTCTGTGTGCCTCAGTTTATTCATCTATGAAATGGAGATTTTAATAGTACTTACCATATAGGGTGGCTGTGAAAATTGAATGAATTAAATTTTGTCAAGTACTTAGAACAATGCCTGACACATAGAAAGTGCTATTTATTATTAGCCTTCGTTATTTAAAAAAAATTTTTTTAATGTTTATTTATTTTTGAGAAACAGAGACAAAGCACAAGCAGGGTAGGGACAGAGAGAGAAGGAGACACAGAATCCAAAGCAGGCTCCAGGCTCTGAGCTATCAGCACAGAGCCCAATGTGGGGCTCGAACTCACAAACTGCAAGATCATGACCTGAGCTGAAGTTGGGCACTTAACCAACTGAGCCACCCAGACGCTCCTATTAGCCTTCATTATTTCATTAGAGAGAAAGCAAAACTGAAGGCATGGCCCAAAGGACAGGTCATTTTGAGGGAATAATGAGATGGAGAATATCTATGGTGTATGACTAAAACTCAACAGTTCGGGACAATGGAGAGAAGGGGCATCTAAAGTAAGAATGGGGGCTTTGAAAAAGAGGTACCAGATAGAAATGTTTTCTCTTTTGAAGTCTCACATAGAACAATGTCTAGATGCCTAGTCCTGGCATTTGGGGATTAGGAAAGTTCTTCACCATATACACCTTCCGTAGTGGTGAACTTCTGCGGCAGTAAGGCAGCATGAAAAGGTACTCCCAAATTCAATGGCATACACCACTAAGCCCATATTTTTAGCTGTGGGTCTGCAGGTCAATGGGAATTGGTTCCAGACTCTGTATCTGCTCCATGGGGCTTATTCTATTGTCGAGGCTGAAGGCTGAACCATGCTCTTCTCCTGGTGGAGGTCAGAAGCTTCAGAGACCACCTTCCATTGGCCAAAACAAGCCACATGGCCAAGTCTAACATCCATGGGATGGGGAAGTGCTATTTTCCCATGGAGGTGGGCAGGGAAAGAGGTGGGGGAATATATACTGAACAACAGTCTTACTTTCTACACCTTCCATCTAAGACTTCATAGTTTTGATCATGTCTCGTCAAGCTTCTGCTTTTTCAGACTGAGGAATTCAAATCTCTTTCTTCTTTCTTGATAAAGAAGTCACTCCCTACCTGCTTTGCTTTGCCCCTCTGATCTCCTGACCTTGTTGGAAGTGACCCCGTTTGTTGGTCTTCTTGATTGTATATACACATGGACTGTTGGACTTTAGAGTAAAGTTGGAAATAGATTCCAATATTCTTTTCTGCAATCAAGATAAATAAACTAAGTGAAAGGAAACTAACATTTTTGGAGTCAGCTACATGCCAGGCACTGAGCTGCATATTCTTAATACCATGTTAGGTATCCTTCATGTGTTATTTCCCCTTCAGTCCTCAAAATCAAATGGCTCTAGGGACTAGGCAGGCAAATGAATGAAGCAAGTAGGGTATAATTTTCTCACTTCATATGTAACTGTAGTTCACAGCAGTACTGTTTATTTTATTCTCAATCAAAAAGAACCCCTGTTGAAATTTAAGCCCCATTTTTTTCATTAGTAAATTTTCAGCAGGTATTTTTGCTCTACACTCAGCTCTTCCCACTTCAGAACAGCACATTAAATTGCCTTCTTTTGACAGGGCCACATTTTGCGCATTAAACATTTAGCAATGTTCTTTCCTCTTCCACAAAGAAGTACATGGCCCTCATGACCTATATTTAATTTTCCCATTTCTGTTATTTTTGTTAGAATACACACACACACAGACATTTCACTTTCCTCTTGATTATAAGAAAATGCTCATAAGAATTGTTGGGGCTCATTAAAGGAAATGTATTCTACAGGAAATGATGAGGATGGGGGAAAATGAGTCCAAGATGGGGAGACATCACCCAGCTCTCAACAATTATTGCTGTTTAGGAATTGAAGCCCAGGATTGCCAGATCTTCTTTCTTTCTTTTTTTTTTTCTTTAACGTTTATTTGCTTTTGACAGAGAGAAACAGAGCATGAAAAAGGGAGGGGCAGAGAGAGAGAGGGAGACACAGAATCCGAAGCAGGCTCCAGGCTCTGAGCTGTCAGCACAGAGCCCGACACAGCGACTTGAACTCAGGAACTGTGAGATCATGACTTGAGCCAAAGTCGGATGCTTAACTGGCTGAGCCACCCAGGTGCCCCTAGGAAACTGGTTTTGTGTCTACAGCTCTGTAGAGTAAGATTTATGTCTACAGCTAGGTGGTGACTGATTTTAGGCATTTTTCAGATATAAATTCAAGGTAGTTCAAATGTGCTGATTTAAGACCATAGCTGCTGTGGCTTCTCAGCAGACTGATTCCATTAATAATATGTATGTCCCAGAACAGCTAGTGATTCACTTTGATGTTAATCAGTGCAAGTCTGGGCCAGACTGAGCTAGCAATCAGAGTTGCGTCTTGAATATTAAACCTTTTACACCAAAGAAATTTCTGTATTTTGGTCAAAACATTGCTGTGGTAACATGAGCTCCTCAGAATTTACTAGGAATCATGGGGATGTTTTTGGAGGAGCATTCACTTTCCTGGAGGTAAAGAGTCTAAGACCTGTATCTAACTAATCCTGAGATTTTAGATAAATGATCTCATTTCTCTGGATCTTCAAATGAGGATGAGTTGTGTAATAGCAGATAATCTCATGCCCCTTCCAGCTCAGGAAGAAAGAATAAGCCAGTTTGCAGCCAGTGTATCCAGTATATAGTGTATATAAATGCGCAAAATCGATATGGTGTGATTAAAGAGGATACTGTCTGCCACTTGCCTAGTATATCCCCTCCACATATCCTCTGGCCCCAGCGAGTGAGTCCCTGCATAGGATTAGAGTAGTGTGGTGCTGTGGCAAGGAGCCTGATGAGATAACTACCACTTCCTAGCTGTGTGTCTCAGGAATATTACTTCTCTGAGTCTTAGTTTCCTTAGTTATAAATTGATGGATCAAATACCTTCTTATAGAGCTATTGAAGATTAAATACAACTGCCTATGTGAAGGCTATGTAAGGTAGAAAGCATAAAACAAATATCATTGTAGTTTGGAATTTAAGATGTCAAAATTACAGTGAAATTCTCCATGATTAATAATAAGAATAGAGGAGCACCTGGGTAGCTTAGTCAGTTGAGCATCTGACTTGATTTTGGCTCAGGTCATGATCCCAGGATCATGGGATCAAGCTTCATGTCATGCTCCACACAGTGTAGAGCCTGTTTAAGATTCTCCCTCTCTTTCCTCTTTCTCTCTCTGCCCATCTCCCCTGCTCAGTCTCTCTCTCTCTTAAAAAAAAAAAAAAAAAAAAAAAAGATTAGAACAATAGTTCTGTCTAGAGCATTGAGGTATCTACAAAAATCAGTTAAGTCTTTATAACTTAGAAAACACTTTATAAATACATTGATTCATAGAGGTTGAATAGTGGATTTTTCAGTCTGGAATTATTTAGGCCTTTTATTTCTCCTTTTTCTCACCAAAAGTACATAGTAAGGTTAGAAGAAAATGAAAGGCAAGAGAGAGGGGGTGCTGTCTGGGGACAGCTGGCCCCCTGGTGGTCTTCCTCAACTGGCACTCTGTCCCAACACACAGTCACCAGATCACTTCTCAGGAACAGAGTCACATTGTGAGAATTCAGAGAGGCTGGTGTATAAGGCAGAATCTCATTTTATTAATTTACAAGGAGAGATTTAACCGTTGAGGGGACTGAACATTTTTTTTTTTTTTTTTTTTTTTTTTTTGGTTTTTGGTCAGTAAGTTCTAGACACATAACACACATAACAGCAACATATAACAGAAAATCCCAAAGTACAGTGGCTTAAACCAGTTTCTCTTTCCTACAGAGGAAGTCTGCACATATCCAACTCCAGGCTGATAGAGTTGTTCCAGTGTATCATCTGGATATAAGCTTTTATCTTTTTATCCTGCCATCCTTAGCCTGTGACTTCCAGGGTCTACGTCACTTCATCTTCCGAGATGACTGATGAAGGCCAGGCTGCCAGCAGCAGTTAGGAGGAAAGAAGAAAGAAGAAAGAATGATATGCCACCTGATTTTTAGATTTTCCATTAGGCCTATAAACATTTCCACTTATACGTCATTGGTGAGAATCTGGTCTCATAGCCTCCTCTAGCTGCAAGGGCAGTTGGGAAGTGTCTTTTAGGAAAGTACATTGATGGGGCACCTGAGTGGCTCAGTTGGTTAAGCCTCTGACTTCGGCTCAGGTCATGATCTCACGTTCATGGGTTCAAGCCCCCCTTCAGGCTCTGTGCTAACAGCTCAGAGCCTGGAGCCTGCTTCAGATTCTGTGTCTCCCTGTCTCTCTCTGCCCCTCCCCCTCTCATGCTCTGTCTCTCTCTGTCTCAAAAATAAATAAAAACATTTAAAAAAATTTAATAGGAAAGCACATTGCTGTCCCGAATAAAATTGGGATTCTATTATTAAAGAGGTGAGGAAGAGGATGTTGGGATAGGCATTTCCATTGCAACAGCCAAATTATAATCATAAGGTCGGCTGAATGAGCAGAGAGAGCTAGATTTATGATTTGTGATTTAAGGTGCTAACATTTAAGGCCTGGCTTCTCAAATTTCAATGTGAACTTGGATCACCAGAGATCTTGCTAAAATACAATCTCTTATTCAGAATTTCAGAGGTCAGGGTGGAAATTCTGCACTTCTAATAAGCTTCCAGATGATGCTGGTCTTTGGACCACACTTTGAGTAGAAGAGCCTTAAAATATCATTCCTACAATGATTGGCATTTTCTCTAACAATTGCAGGACAACAGCTGATGCCACCAGAGTACAGCACAGGGATCTGAGGGCTAGGGGTGACTTTGGTGTCCGGATTTGGAGTGCGCAGGAACCAGCTAAAGCTGTTTGCTGTAACTAAACCTACTACAGCAACTTTCCATTTAGAGCATCTGCCCTGCAAGCAGACAGACTGAAATTCCCTATAGGAAAGAGCTGAGGAAGATGGAGGGATGAGAGCTGTTGGGGGAAGGTGGGCACCCTGGATGTCAGACTTGACTCAGAATTCAGCTTATTATTTATTGCCTGCTGAGAGAACAGACCCTGGCTGGACCAAAGCAGGAATTTAATTTTGCACCCATGGGAAAATGTCTACAGCAGTTCCTTGGATAGGGTCAAGGCCATCAAAATGGATATCCACCTTTCACCACCCATTGGAGAGACCAAAACTACAACACTGAACATCTCTTGCTGTGCCTTTGTCCTACTTAGCCCAACAGGCTTCTCCAGATCACATAGGATAGTTCTTTCTGTTGTATGTAGGGGCCCATGTTTCCATCAACGGCCCATTATTACTAATTAAGTCAATGCAGCAGAGCCAGAAAATGAGAGACACCAGGGATAGTCCTATATTTTAAACTCCTGACAACATTTTTTTGTGTGTGAAGGAAAGTCACAAGAGAATTGTAAAAAATGTACTCTTTGTCTTAAATGTTTATTTTTAATAAAGTTATCATTTTAACATATACAGTTAAGCCTTGAACAACACAAGGGTTAGGGGCACTGACACCTCCCCCCTCCATACAGTCAAAAAACCATGTGTAACTTTGGACTCCCCCAAAACCTAACTACTGATGGCCTATGGTTGATAGGAAGCCTTACCAATAACATAAGCAGTTGGTTAACATGTATTTCATATGTTATGTGTATTATATATTGTATTCTTACAACAAAGTAAACTAGAGAACAGAAGGGGATAAGAAAATTAGAAAAGACACTTACAGTACTGTAAATAATCTGTATGAGTAGACCCGGGCCATTCAGACCACGTAGTTCAGGGTCAACTATATACACAGTGTAAGGTCAAAAGACAAAACTCGAGGCCCCTTGTGACTATGAGAACAAAGTCAGTGTCTCCCTTTGCTCCCTGTGATAAGCCTTGGGCAGCTTTGGGACCAGGCACCCACCCTCCCTCCCCATTCCCAGTGTGCTTAGGTGGGCTCTTCGGCATGAGTTACTAATGGTCTATCTGATATTCCAGGCCTCTCTTCCTCACTAACAAAATCACAATGTTGCCTGAGGATCAACCTGCCAGGTGAAATACATAGTCCCCCAGTCGTCCTTACACTCAGGACAAGCCTTGTGACCCATTCCTGGCTGATAGGAATTGGACAGGATGGGGCTCCAGCTAAATTATTATCTTAATGATAGAAAGGGGGAGACTCATTTGGCATGAGGATTTTGCCCTTGTTGCTTACTTCTTTGAACACCAATGTGCTGCCTAGAGGTACATTAGTCATTTTGCCATCAAGAGTACCGAAGTCAAATGCCAAGGATGGAAGGTCAGAAAGGTGCAAGAGATCTGGGTTTTTAATGGTATTGTGGATTTGCCATCTTTGGCTTGAACTACCTACCTTTGGACTTCCTGATATATGAGAAAAAGAATTTCTTATTTGGGACTTCTCTTTGAGGTCCACTTTTTCTTCTCCATTTTTTACTCTTTTCCCATCAACCTTCTGATACTGTTATACTTTAAGATCTGTCCTGATGCAAATGTATGATGAAGGCAGACAGGGGCACCTGGGTGGCTCAGTCAGTTAAGCGTCCAACTTCGGCTCAGGTCATGATCTCATGGTTTGTGAGTTTGAGCCCTGCATCAGGCTCTGTGCTGACACCTCAGAGCCTGGAGCCTGCTTTGGATTCTGTGTCTCCCTCTCTCTCTGACCCTCCAACGCTCTTACTCAGTCTCTCAAAAATAAATAAACATTAAAAAAAACTTTTAATGTATGATGAAGCCAGACATGACTGGGGAACGAGTAACCAATAGGCCAAAGAGGAAGAGCCATAAATTCTAAAAGTGGTGATAATCAACCTGAGGCTGATGGCACTTGTAAGAGTGGCTTGATTAGTAAACTCCAGATGCTTTGGGCAAGAGGCCTGCAGGAGCACTTTTTAAACTTTAACATACAATCAAATCACCAAGGGATCTGGTTAAAATGCACTGTTGGATTCAGTAGATTGTTGGGAGAAGTAGAGTGCCAGGGCCCCAAGTGCCCCTGTGTGTTCTTGCTGGCTGTGCTAAGAATGCAAGGCCCTTGACTCCTTGTTACCTGGGCCGTGTCTTAGGGTTGTTTTTGCAGCGAGTAATCTTGAGGGGTGAGGTAATATCCCTCCACATCCCCCCACCCCCAAAAGGAAAAAAGCAGGCTTGCTTACTGCTCACTCTGAAAGCAGGGAGTTCCCTAAGCTAAGTGTTCCTCGGCTGTGATCCAATCAGTATCACAGTCAGTGTCACCTGGACCTCTTCCCTGTGGCACTTGAAGGGGCAGGTGGAACCTGTGCAAACCAACAGCATCGTTGCTCATGCTGCTTGCTCTCGTGGGAGTAATAGGATCCTTTGTCTCTAACTTAGGAATCTTGTGTCTTCTGTCAGTATCCGTGAGAGTAACAGACTCATTTATTAGCTCAAAAGTAGGGTAAAACCTTCAATCCTTCACAGACGTTGATAGGAGCTTTGGGTGGGACCAGAGATTCTGCCTTTCTATAAGCTACCAGGCACTTCCGTTTCTACTAGTGTGCTGACCACGCTTTGAATAGTAATAACCTTGAGATTTCAAGTCACCAAGCCTCTTTATAGCTCTGACTGAGCTTCTTCACCTAAGAGGAGTTTGAAGGGGTCTTCCCATTCTAACTCAGTGATTCCAGGCTGCAATTGCCAATGTAAGTAGGGCCTCCTCCCATTCATTTGTTCCGTCAACCAACGTCTTTATTTACCCATCATTTATAAAGTCCCAGGGATAAGAAGGATGAAAAATTTCTGGATGTGCTCACAGAGTTGGGCAATGGGCAAAAGTTACCCCACAGATACACATATGGATGGTACCAAATAAGTCAGCTGTCTCTTTGAGCTGTCATTCTTAGGTTGAGTGTCCATGTAATTTATTCCAGACCAGGGCACTTTTGAGAGTGAAAGGGGATGCTATTAATAGTTTCAATGGCGTGACACATGTAAATTTGCACAGTCCTGGGTCACCATGTGCTCAGGGCCTTAGAAAGCTGTAGTTCTATCCAGACTTTCTTTTTCAATTCAAATGAACATTTATCAAGCCCATATTAAATGGGACATGGTTAAGAGCTGTCCCTCCCCATCTATGTACAATCCCCTCCACCCTGCTGTTTCTCCTTAGTCCACTCATTTTCTACAGTGATGCAATCCATAATCACACAGTCCAATAGTGTAATGGCAGGCTTGTTCAGAAGTTCAGAATCTTTTTAGACAGTGATGGATAGCAGAGTGATCGTCACAGCTAATGGCGAAACAATAATGTTTCATTTTACACAAGCTCTGAGAAGGACTTCCCATGGAGGTGCTGCTCTGGCCTGGTGCTCCACAGTCATAATAAATAGCAGTGACACCTGGAGCATAAATGTCACTCAAAAAACTCTTCATATAAGTTGAATTGGAATCAACTGTGGCCTCTGGCTTCTTCCACAAAGCTGATAGTGTTTGACTCCTTATCAATAGACAATTCAAAAGCCTGTGTGTTCTCCAAATACCTCCAGTGGTCGACTCCAGGTCAGTGGTCAAGTCTAGGTCAGCGATCAGTTCCGGGTGTAGTATGGGAAAATTCCCAGCCAGGAAGAACCAGGCAGAGGGGACCAGGGCCTTGCGGAGCACGGTGCCAGTGGAGAGTGCAAGAGGCTCGCCAAAGCAAGCAGGCAGGTCCTTGTTGTGAACCAGGATTTCTAATCTTCTCGTCCCTCTTTACACCTTCCCTTCCCTGCTTGCATAGATCCTCAAACGTCCTGTTGCATTACATCGAGAGCCCATCACAGAAGAGTGATTCTTTCTGCCCAGTGGGAGATAGCACCAGTCATTGCATAATCCATCCCAACGCTCAGAGCCCCTGAGTAGCTGCTCTGGAGGTGGATGGAAATAACCCGCCATTTCAGTTTCTATAACCCATACAGGAGTAAGAATGTTATTTTTAAGGCGCAGTAATTTAAAAGCTCTTGCAGGCCGCAGGGGGAAATGTCTTCAGCACTTTAGGGAAACAAAGTGGGTTCTGTCTTTTCTTTTGCAGCCAGTGTCCAGAATGAGTTCTTCCTTTGTAATAACAGGAAAGAGTTCACTGCTTACTGGCATCCATAGTTTTAACTGGTACTAAACATAGCCAACTTAGAGACTTTCAAACTGTAGGAATTCAGGGCACCTTCCTGCTTTGTGGTCTATGCAGTAGATGGACATAATATCCTTAATGCCACCTTGCTTTTGGCGATCAAGATGATGTCTTTTTTTCCAAATGGCCCAGAGCATTGTCAGGTACACACAGTGAGTTTTCCTTAGTTTGGATTCCCCCTAAAACAGACCCCAAGGCAAGGATTTTGATGCTAGTAGTTTATTCAGGGTCATAGTGAGGGAATGAATAAGGGAAAAGGGAAGGGTGGAGAGCCAATAAGACAGATGCTAATCCGCCAATTTCTGTTGTCAGCACTTGGGGCTTAATCAGCCCAGGCCTCTCTGAGAGTGAGCCGGGAGGTGCCTCCAAACTGTCCCACTGAGGGAGAGTTGGGATATTTATACACCAGTTCTTATCCCTCAGTGTCTGAGGGCTGTTCAGGGTATCAGCACTCCTACACTTCTGGCCTGTCTTAGAGCAGACCAACAGCACCCACTTCCAAGGTCAGAGAGTGTCCTCCAACAGGGATACATGGGCAGTCCTCCAGAGAGGCAAAGAACATAGGGGCAGGGCACTGACAGCTTCTGCCCCAGAAGTCAAAGTCAGATTCATAAATGAGCTGCATGTTCCATACTTAAAATACGCAATGTGGTCTTTTGAAAGACCCGTTTTCGCCTTGCAGGATCTGTTTGCCCTAATGGAAAAGTAGCAAGAAACCCAGCTGTAGCTGTAGGCTGTAGAGCAAAAGCTAATTGGAATTGAAGCCTTCACCATTTGTAATTCCCAACCTATAACTGTACCCACAATAAATGAGGTCACCCGCTCCCTGTAGAGTCAGCACAAGTCTGGGCAGAAGATGACGCCATTGACACTCAGCTGAAAACTGAGACAGCAGCGTTGGCAAGACACAGCAAAGAACAGGGGATCAGACTCCATCATCTGTATGTAGACAATGTAGACGGCAGTGTTAAATACCCTCGATGACCATGACCATGAAATCCAGGGAGTTAAAGATGCCCAGCAGATTACCAGTGCCCATATTGGAGCTCTTGCAGAAAAACAAGAAGGCTCACAGATGTTCTAATTCTTCTTCTGAAAAAGAGAAAACACTTTTTTCTTTTTGTTCATAAAAATAATATATACTTTTGATAATTGTAAAAAACTTAGAAAATAAGTAAAATGAAAAGAAGAGACAGATCAACTATAACTCCATGTTTCAATCTTTTACAAATATATAAACAAAATAGATAAACCCATGTAAATAAAATTC